ATCTATCTGTTTTATTCACCATACCTGAACAAATAAGCTGGTATGGTGCCCAAAGACCATAGTGGCAATCAGTAAATACCATGCCAAGTCGTGCAGACGACGCTCCTCCCTCACCAAAATGGCGGCTCCCAACCTACTCCTCTCGCTGTTATCACACTCTATACACACGTTATATATAAGTATATATAAGTATCTACATTTGTGTTCACCATAGCGAACCACTAAGCTGGTATGGTGAGTGCAGTCAATAAATGGTGGCCACACACAGTCAGAAGATGACGCCATAACCCTCCCTCCACAGCCTTACTCCTCCCTCCATGGAGCACAGCGCTAAATATCACCACAATCCTGCTATTATCAGTATCCTGGTCAGTTTTATCACAGTCAGGGGGCTTCAGTAATACTATCACTGCTAAATAATAGCAGTATCATTTATATTATGGTATTTGTAGGCGATGCTGTGGTCACAAGCTGAACAGCGGTGCTGTGAGCTCATGCTGCGTGCGCCAGCCTTGGTGGCTTGCTCAATACTGACGCTGTAACACCCAAGAATGTTGGCCTGGATTTTTTTCTAGGTGGCATCTGGCAACTATTGGTCCTGGCTGTACTATAGCTGCCCCTATCCCAGGCGGGGCGTTTAAATTATAGCGCTAGACATGAAATCATATATATATGATGTGCGCGGTTTCGGTTTTGTCACTGATATCATTTATATATGATATGCGCGGTTTGAGGGTTAATAAAAGTGAGTGGAAGAGTACCTTTTCCAAGTACCTTGGAAAAAAATATGGCTTGGAATGTCACATATATACTTATTTATAAGCAAAATAGTGACTATAAGCAATAAGTCATATATGTGCGAGAGCGGGTTGCATTCCACCACTCCCCATATTCCCTGCCTCTCCTCGCTCCAATGATGCCTACGCAGTCCACTTATTCCCCCACTTCCTTGCGACCTGCTCGTTTGCCTGCTCCAATTGTGCTCCACTCATTCCCTAAGCAACCCGTTCTCGCAAATTCGTAAAGTCAATATTGACTTATTAACTACGTGCATAGGTGATATACTAAACATAATAGATACCCCTAAAAAGATTCATAGAAAACACCGACCTTACCTAACCTTGTTAGTATCTTAAGATAAGCATCTTATTGCTTCGTAATTACAATTATTACTTAACCTATACCTATTATAGGTTAGATAATAATTGTAATTACGAAGCAATAAGATGCTTATCTTAAGATACTAACAAGGTTAGGTAAGGTCGGTGTTTTCTATGAATCTTATTAAGGGTATCTATTATGTTAAGTATGTCACCTATGCACATATTTAATAAGTCAATATTGACTTATTAAATTTGCGAGAACGGGTTGCCCTAAGACCCCTTGCACCCCACTCATTCCTCGCGCTTCCCTTCCCCACCACTTAATTCTTCAATGCCTCATGATCCCCTCGTGCACCACTAGTTCCCTCACACTCCTCTCGTTCCCTCATGTGCCCTGTGTACCCTGCAACCTGCTCGTTTCCCTACCCGTTTCGCCCCCCTCAATCATGCAGCTCATTCCCTCAAGCTCCCCTCACACAGCGCTTATTCCCAGGCGCTCCCCTTGCATGCCACTCGCTCCCTCGTGTGCCACTCATTCCCTCGCATACCCCTCGTTCCCTTGCACTCTCCTTGCATGCCCACCTGTTCCTTTGTGCTCCCCTTGCATCCCCACTCGTTCCCTCGTGCTCCCCTTGTGTGCTGCTTGTTCCCTCACACGCCCTTTGTTCCCTCGCATGCCGCTCATTCTCGCATGCCACTCACGGTCTCCTCATTTGCTCTCGCTCTCCTTGCACGCCGCTCGTTTCCTCGCACTCCCCTTATGTGCTGCTTGTTCCCTTGCACTCCCCTTAAGTGCTGCTTGTTCCCTCGCAAACCCCCCTCATTCCCTTGTGCTCCCCCCGGCATGCCCCTCATTACCCCCCTTGCACACCACTTATTTTCACGCTCTCTCTTCACACGCCGCTCGTCCTCTATGGCGCCACTTATTCCCCTCGCATGCCCCCCATTCCCTTGTGCACCCCTCACATGCTCCCGATTCCCTCATTCCCTAATGCTCATGTCACATGCCCCTTGTTCCCCCCCCCCCCAAAGACGGCTTATTCCCACCCTCACATGCCACTCGTTCCTTTGTGCTCCCCTCGTTTCCTCTCGCTCTTCTCGCATGCCGATCATTTCCTCAGGTGCCACTCATTCCCTCGCGCGTCCCCTCATGTGCTGCTTCTTCCCTCGGCTGCCACCTCGTTCCCTTGCACTCCCCTCAAGCGCAACTCGTTACCTCGCGTTATCCATGCATGCCCCTCGTTTCCTCTAGCTCTCCTCGCACGCTGCTCATTCCCTCACGCTCCCCTTGTGTGCTGTTTATTTCCTCACATAAAATTCTGAGGCTTGGTAATGATGATAGAGTTACAAGATACGAGCTAAATGGTGTTGAGATTGCGAAGTTGGATTGCGAAAGGGATCTGGGAGTTATGATTAGTAAGAATTTAAAACAAAAGGATCAATGCATGAATGTTCGTAATAAGGCAAATCGAACACTCTGATTTATTAATCGCAGCGTTAGTAACAAGACACCTGGTGTAGTTCTTAAGCTATATCTTGCTCTGGTTAGGCCCCATTTAGATTATGCAGTTCAGTTTTGGTTGCCTTACTATAGAATGGATATAAATTCCCTTGAACGTGTCCAGCGTAGGATGACTAAGTTAATTCCCCAAATTAGAAATCTTTCATATGAAGAAAGATTAACAAAGCTTAAGTTGCATTCACTGGAAAGGCGAAGAGTTAGGGGTGACATGATAGAGGTTTACAAGTGGGTGAATGGACATAACAAAGGGGATATTAATAGGGTATTAAAAGTATCAACACAAGACAGAACACGAAACAATGGGTATAAATTGGATAAGTTTAGATTTAGGAAAGACTTGGGTAAATACTGGTTCAGTAACAGGGTTGTTGATTTGTGGAACCAATTACCGCATAACGTGCTGGAGGTGGGGTCCCTCGATTGTTTCAAGCGCGGGTTGGACAAGTATATGAGAGGGATTGGGTGGTTATAAATAGGAGCTGCCTCGTATGGGCCAATAGGCCTTCTGCAGTTGCCTTTGTTCTTATGTTCTTATGTTCTTATATTGGTCAGTTTGGCAAAGTTTGAAGTTTGTGATATAAGCCCCAAAAATGGAAGTGTTATCAGTCAGAAACCCCGATGATGCTTCAGTAGATGCTAGAGAGATCCTGCAGATCTTTAACACCATCGGTATTTACTAGCAACAATGTAATATGATGAGTCCAGTTCCTATTCTCACAAGACACTTCAGCCTCACTACTGAGCAGCCAGATTCTGGTCGTATCCGAGCTTCCGGTTCTCATCCCACATTCAAGCCTGCCTGCATTTGAGCTCCACGCTTTACGCACTCCCCCCGCATCTAAGCTCTCTACCCGAGGCATCACTCAAACTCTTGTTTTATGTTCCAGGCCTTGTCTTAGCACCTGACAGCTGGGTGGACAGCGCTTCGGGTTTGTAGTCCTGAGGTTCCGGGTTCGATCCCCAGTAAAGGCAGAGACAAATGGGCAAAATGTTTCTTTCACCCTGATGCCCCTGTTACCTAGCAGTAAATAGGTACCTGGGAGTTAAACAGCTGCCTGGTCAAGGACCGGGCCACGGCGACGCTAAGCCCCGAAATCATCTCAGATAACCTCAAGATTAGCTGTCACAACAAATTACTACATTGCCAACAACTGACTGATGTAACAAAGACTTAAATAAACAACAAAAACCACTAAACTCTGTCTTGTTACCCAAACATGTATACATACATAATCTTCCGTAGAAGTAAACAGGAACATTAAGTGATAAGAAATGCACCCAACCATTTCTGTCCTGCCCAGATTTCAAATCCAGAGTTCCCAATTCCCAAGCCGAGAATGAACCTGACTGTACTACCAGAACCTTACAGAAATTACTGAAGCCATTCAGCACATTTTAAAGTCTATATCTATCATACCCTCAAATATTCCTTAGGTAAGGTAAGGAATCCTTGTTCAGGCAATTCTCTAGTTACTTCAGAGAATGCACAGCAATTACTCAAAGACTGGTTGGTCTCAAATGAGAACTGAAACAGTTCAAGTGTTAAAATAAATAAATAAATAAATAAATGTTTATTTAGGTAAGGTACATACATAAAGAGATTTTACAAAGTTTGTTGGATTAATAGATAGAGCTAGTACATACAATGCCTAAAGCCACTACTGTATTACGCAAAGCGTTTCGGGCAGTTTAATATGGATGCAATTCGGGCGTTTAATATGGATGCAAGGAATAAGTAAAGAAAATGTTGTGTAAAAAATATCAACCCAAGTTAAGGTCAAATTTAGGTATTCTTAGCATGAGAAATATGATAAGTTTATTAATGCTTGCAATAAATACTCCAAGTACTGGGAAGATTTACTGCAATAGAATAGAATAGACCTAATCCAACAGATTGGAAAAACATTGGAAAGTACGAAGACAAACCAATTTCTACTGATACTCACCTATATGCATTATTTCACATGCAAGTGAAATGATGAAATGGTTTCTAGATGTAAATCAATCTTTACAGATACCATGTCTTCACATAAAGCAACTGCTACGTATAATACGATGCCTCCATACCCAATGATCTCAGACAACATTTACTACTGTGTTACTATTATTATTGCTTTTAACAAATACAATCAGAATAACCCTGCTAAGTTAACGCAATATACCAGTTCTATATTCAATTCTTTCTTTACAGAAAGGTGCAATAATATATCTCCTGAACAGAAACATTATTACAAGATCGTTGTCCGTATCATTACGACTCTCTCTTCGTTGCAGTTTCAGTGGTTATGGAAGCACTTTTTATACTTTATCTTGTCTTATAAAAAACAAGATTTCACTAGAAGCGTATGATGACTCAAAACCACAAGCCGACGTACAGACTACTCACGTAAAATCCATAGCGGAAGACAGGCAAGAGAGCGGAGGAAGGACTGACTGAGCCCAGCCGCGGCCCCGACCACTACCACCCACACCTCTCCCTCTCACTGATTTCCACCGTTATTATTTTACTCTCCCGTACTGTAATCAAACTTAATACTGCCTTCTCCTGGTGCTTCTTCAGTTTAATTTAGGTCACTGAATATTTCTAAGTACACTCCAAGAGGTTTAAGCACATATTTACGAGAATTGCTGACGTGGAAATTGAGAGTAAATTTTGGGATGCAACACCAGGGAAGGGGACGTAAGGTGGGCCTCGACCAGCTGGTGGCTGCCATGCGTGTCCTAAACCCTACCCCACACACTAGTAATAATAATAATAATAATAATATTTTATTTAGAAAAAGTACATATATAGATGCAGTTACAAACATTCTGATTGATTTATAGATAGAGCTAGTACATACCTAAAGCCACTAGTACGCATAGCGTTTCGGGCAAGTCTATCTGTGACCTCACACTCGTGTCACCTATCCTACGCACACTCTGCATTAAACACAATAACTTATTTTAGATTTTCGTTACATTGTGTTAAAGTTAGGTTAGATTAATATACGTAAAAGCTTGAATAATTGAGTGTTAAAAGACTTGCAATGACGTGGTAGGATATAACTTTTAGCTCTTTTTGAAGATGATTGTTACAAATATTATGAAGTAATAATTATGCAATCTTTACATGCTCTAGTAATTGTAGTAAATAAATTATAGTAAACGGGAATGTTTTTGTTATCATTGGCATGAATCGGCTTAAGAGGGCGTTATCATTGTTTGGCCGAAAAAATTCGGCCAAACACGAAAAATTTATAAAAATACTACAACGTTCTGGCAACACCGTGGTGCAAACCGTTTAATGTTATGATAATAAATAACGTAATTACAGCAAATTTTCCAGCCGCAATTGCCCGAAATCTGGTCCTCGCGGCTCGGGTGCGCCGTAGGGTGATGCGTCATACGTTGTAAGCGTCTAGTATTTCGCAATAGAGTGGAGAATATCTTGTTATGCATATACAAATTATAAACACACTCGCTGGCAACTGTCTTCTGTGAGAGGGAGGGGCTATAATCCGATTTACTGGCTTAGTCACCCTCTCAGTGTCTGTGCCGGCGGTCGCATGCCTGACGCGCTCGCACAGATCGTATTTTCTTGCATATACTGCACAATGGATATAGTATCGGACAAGAAGAAAGCTCTAAAGGCAAGAGCTCTACGCGTTAGCCAAGTAAAGAAGGAGCGTAAAGCCACACTGAGGCAAAACAAGAGTTCCCTTGAGTGAAGAGAGAGGGCAGCCTCCCGCCCCCACAACACACTACCTCGCCTCACACCCAGGCACCCACACCTCCTGTGGCACCTGCCACACCTCTGTGGCACCTGCCACACCTCCTGCTGCACATGCCACACCACCTGCGGCACCTGCCACACCACCTGCGGCACCTGCCACTCAAGATCTTAGACCTGCAACTCAAGACGTTCTCCCTCTTGATGTTGCAAGATGTTGCATATTTCAGACCAATTATATTAGGTTAGTATGTATTATGTTTTATATCTTGATACTATATCATAAATAATTGTAAATATAAAGCTGCTGTCTTTTTTTTAATTTTTTTATTTTTTTTTTTTAATTTTTTTTTTTTAATAATTTTTTTTTTTTTTTTTTTATCAGGCAATCTTCATGGAACTTACACACCTTACTGAAGGAATGCCAATCTACAAGGGTGGTAATTTTGATTGAAATTGGTAGTTCATCAACCTCAGCCAAAGGTGGCTGAACTTTGACCTTCATTTTTTACAGGTAACTAATTTGCAACTATATGGTTGAATAACTTTTTTATTTATTATTCAATTTACATGGAACTTGCACATTATATGTAGAGTCTGTGCCTCTAAAAACTCAAGTTATATATTTCCCCTAAGATCATTTATTGATTTTATATATATTTATAAACATCATTTTGTTGCATAATTTTTTGGGTGAACTTTGAAAATTTGTATTATTGCACTAAATAGGTTTGGGATAATAATGCCACTAGACAACCTTTATTATATAGTATTGTGATAGCTGAGTATCATAGAAATAATATCAGTTGATATTTGTATTTGTTATATCAACTTTAAAACATGTAAAAAAATGGTTAAAAAAAGTTTTTTTTTTTTTTCTCCCTCTCTATTTAGGCTGCGATGCTGAAACTTGGACCACTTGCAGCCCTCTTCACGTGTAACACGTCAATAAATTTTCATTGCACTAGAACAACTTTTATGAACCCTAACTATCGCCCCCTTAAGTGAAGGCAGCACGCAAAACTCACGTCGGCACCTGCGGGTCACAAGGTAATTTACCTGAATTTACCTGATGGTCAGTATCTCACAAGTGGCCTCGACGAGAACAGGAAGCCGCCAGCTTGTTGAAGGGTCATCCGTTGGTCCTGATTATTTTGTCGAGCTGGATTTTAAAATTCAGCCGTGTTTTGGTATTTACGACTTCGGCGGGTAGGCTGTTCCATGGCGGTCCGTTTAATTACCACAAGCTACACAAGCTTCAGAAAGCTTCCTGGCAATACGTTAGTAATGAATAAATATGATATATTTACTCATTATAATGTTGGTGCTGAATGTACAACACGAAAAAACATAATTTTAATCTGAAAAAGTATCTTTTTATAAAGAAATTAGACGAAAATAAAAAGCTGGTGACGCCAAATCATGTCGACGATCCAAGCTTCGGTTAGGTTAGGTTAGGTTTGGTTAAGTTAGGTTAGGTTAGGTTAGGTCAGGTCAGGTCAGCCTAACCTAACATATCATATTTATTCATTACTAACGTATTGCCAGGAAGCTTTCTGAAGCTTGTGGTAATTAGACGGACCCTTCCATGGGTTTACCTGAGGATCACTATTACTAGTGGCCTCGGCGAGGACAAGAAGCCGCCGGCTTGTCAAAGTCCCCCCCCCCCTCACCATTTGCCCTGATCTTTTCCAGTTGTATTTTAAAACTCAACAGAGTTTTTGCATTTAAAGCTATGGCGGGTAGGCGGTTCTACGGGATTATACCCGTCGGTGAAAAAGCAATTGTTCTCAGCCCTTCATTCATAATGTTAAGGTTTGGGACGTTGTTTACCTTGACTAACAAAGCTTTTGATACAGTGCCACATGAAAGACTGATTAAAAAGATAGAGGCTCACGGTATTTTGGGTACTATATAAAATTGGATTAGGGCATGGCTATGGTCGAACCCCTCTTGGAATCTGACCAGAGTGTCAATTGGGTTAACCCATGTGTTGTGTTTCCATAATGGTCGCCCAAGTTAACATTGGTGAATACTCCAAGAATATTGCAGGCGATGAGCCACAATAACGTGGCTGAAGTATGTTGACCAGACCACACACTAGAATTTATTTATTTTTTATTTATTTATTTATGTACAAGAAGGTACATTGGGTTAGAGAGAATACATAGCATAGCATTTACACTCTTGTAAAGCCACTAGTACGCGCAGCGTTTCGGGCAGGTCTTTAATCTAACAGGTTCAAATATTTATTTGATATTTCAAAGGTTCGAATATTTATTTAATATTTCTAAGGTTCAAACTGTCGTACCATATGGGACTGGTGATTAGTGAAAATAAAACTAAGTTTGAATGTAGAAGTCGGAGGCCTATTATATTAAAAATAAACGGTAAAAATATAGAGAGTTAATATATATAAATATTTAGACATACTTGTTGGATATACCCATGAGAGTTTGGAAGCTGAGATGAACAGACTGGTGGGTCAATGTCAGAAGAGATTACAACCTCTGAAGGCCTTGGCATGCTGTGGAAAGGGAGTAGGAGTCCCTGTGCTACAAACGGTCCGTCTAATTACCACAAGCTACCACAAACTACACAAACTTCAGAAAGCTTCCTGGCAATACGTTAGTAATGAATAAATATGATATATTTACTCATTATAATGTTGGTGCTGAATGTACAACACGAAAAAACATAATTTTAATCTGAAAAAGTATCTTTTTATAAAGAAATTAGACGAAAATAAAAAGCTGGTGACGCCAAATCAAGTCGACGATCCAAGCTTCGGTTAGGTTAGGTTTGGTTAAGTTAGGTTAGGATAGGTTAGGATAGGTTAGGATAGGTTAGGTTAGGTTAGGTTAGGTCAGCCTAACTTAATATATCATATTTATTCATTACTAACGTATTGCCAGGAAGCTTTCTGAAGTTTGTGTAGTTTGTGGTAGCTTGTGGTAATTAGACGGACCCGCTACAAATGATATACTTGAGTACTGTAAGATCTCTTATTGATTATGCTGCACCTGTCATTTCTTGTTTTGGTAAAGGTAGGATGGGTAAGTTGGAAAAGGTACAAAATGAAGCCATGAGAATTATCTGAGGATGCCCAAGATATGCTATGATTGAGATAATGAGGATGGAGTTGAATCTGCAGAGTATTGGGGATAGAATTGTAGAGATAAATGTAGCCTCTGCCATTAGATTAATGAGAGGTGGGGGAGCTAATGAATTAATCCTCTTGGTTCAAAAGGTAGGAAGTAGTGAACAGCGTATGATGAAGAAGAGAGTATATATGAATGACTTATGTTTTAATGTTATAAAGTATGATGTTATTACAGAATGTATTGCTGTGCCCAAGAGACAATTCACACCACCATGGGAGGATTGTAATATAGATGTAGTAATTACTCCCTTGCAAAAGAAAAAAAGTATGTATGAAATAGGAGAGCTGAGGGCAACATATGATTGTATAATTAGAAAATTGCCTACAGAAAACACTCTACATGTATATTGTAATGGGTCAGTAGCTAGGGATGGGAAGGCAGGATGTGGAGTCGTGATGAGGGAGTACACTGACATCGGCACTGTAGATACTGTTATTGGACGCCGCTTAACTGACAATGTCTCTTCAACGCAGGCTGAACTCCAAGGTGTATTAGCAGGATTACAGGAAGTAGTCAGATATGGTAAAAATGCCTGCTTCTTTATTAACAGCAGAGAAGCGTTAGTCTTTAAATAGCAGACACCCAGTATACCAGAATATTGTGATAAAGTGTAGAGAGAATGTTAAGAAATTAGAAAAAACTAGGTATAAAGTAAGATTCATGTGGATCCCTTCACATGTAGGAATACTGTTGAATGAGGTAGTTGATGACATAGCGAAGAGAGCCACTGAAAAAACTCTTGTTGATGTATGTCATTTAACCTTGAAACAAATAAAAACAAGAATCAAGATGATCCAAGAGAGAGAAGAAATGATAGAGAATGGCAATGGTGTACAGTAGTAATACACATAAGAATTATTCAATAATAAATACAAATTCGTCCTTCACCTTGGATTGTCAATGAGCTATCTGAGAGCAGCAGTACACCGAGAACTTCAACAAGATCTTGAAGATCTGAGGCAAAGTGAAATTGACACCAGTAATTCCATCTATCATCATACTATCATGCAAGAGGAGCCACACATCTATGGATCATCCAATAAAATCAGCAGACTTCTAGATCTTTATCTAGATCTAGATCTAGATCGGAGACTTTATCAGTCTCCGTGGTGTAGTGGTAAGACACTCGCCTGGCGTTCTGCGAGCGCTATGTCATGGGTTCGTATCCTGGCCGGGGAGGATTTACTGGGCGCAATTCCTTAACTGTAGCCTCTGTTTAACGCAACAGTAAAATGTGTACTTGGATGAAAAAACGATTCTTCGCGGCAGGGGATCGTATTCCAGGGACCATAGGATTAAGGACTTGCCCGAAACGCTACGCGTACTAGTGGCTGTACAAGAATGTAACAACTCTTGTATATATCTCAAAAAAAAAAAAAAAAAAAAAAAGATGTTACTACTGCTTGGCTTAGACTCGTTTACAAGTATCTCTGGGAATTCTCATTATCTGCTGATGTAGACCTGACCAAATGTAAACTGTGTCAACAAAATTATTCGCACACCCTCCGTCACTATGTGATGGAGTGCGAAAAGATACGTGAATTTAGAGACAATTCTATAACCTATGTTCCAGCGATGTGTAAATATTTAACTCAAAATGATCTGCTACCAGAAATTTTAGCTAAATATCCCCAGTTTGCTAACTGTAGGTAGTAACTGAGTGATTGTAACCTATCCACTGCTGCCCACTGGATGGGGGGTGGTGTGCAGGACAAACATATAAATTGTGACACTAACTCTCCACATATGTCAGTTGCTTAATTTAGAACCTGTGCTTGAGGTCGATCTTGAACCCATTGTTAATGTGACGATTTATATTGAATTTTGTAACTAGCTCATCAAGATTGTAACTTGCTTAGCTAAATGAATTGTGTTGTTCAGTCCCTGAGCCCATTATGTGCCTCTGTAACCCTTTCCACTACCGCCCACAAGATGGGTATGGGGTGCATAATAAATGAACTAAACTAACCTATGGTAAAGGAAAGTCTACTTGGAAGGATTCAATTTACATGAGATTAAGATTAGGATACAAATATATCTGGCAATATGGTGTTGTAAGTGAAAAAGATAAGGAGTGTAAATTATGTAGTATGCCGCACACCCACACCTTAGAACATTATGTATTAGAGTGTCAACTTATTGATAACTATAGAAATAAGGAAGTAAATAGTGTACCACATCAAATTGTTTGGATGTGTGATAATGGTATGATAGACAGTATACTTAGGAGCTAGAAGAATTTTGCCTCAACAGTGTAACAAATATATGTATGCTGTGCTTACTATATTAACCTGCAATATTAAATGGGATTCTTGTAATGTTATTTGTCTATATGTACTCACTGAATTTGTGCACCCCTTGAGGGACTTGAAGTAGAGGGGGGTAGAAATAGCCTACGCTACTCTATCCCTTTGAGATGTATTTCTTTCTTATCTCAATAAACATACTTGAACTTGAACTAATAGATAATTTTAAGTACATAAATTCTAGCAGAATTTATAAAATGATTACAGATACATTGCAAGAAAAAAAATGAGTTGAGAGAGAATAGTAAGTATATTAAAGCACATTGGTATATTAAAGCTCTGATTGATTACATTGACAACTTGATTGGTGATTTAAACAAGATTAACAGATACCATACAGCAGATTGATAGCACATATAAGAAGACAGCAATGATCACAATGGTAAAGATGGTGAAGGGACGACAACGTTTCAGTCCATCCTGGACCATTCTCAAGACAATTTACTTGAGGATGGTCACCTTCTAGTGTATGGTCTGGTCAACATCCCAAGAATATTGTTGAAAACATCTTGATAAGTTATTTAACCAAAAATCCAAAGTTTTTTAACGTTAGGTTAGGTCAGGTTAGTGTTTTACCACT